GAACATTTTCCAGGTCTACCGGCTCCCCCTGTAACACAGAGACAGACATGACAGGGGATGACGCAGACACCAAACATTGAGATAAACAAAATGGACTCCACTCCAATAAGGTGTGGTGAGCCCAATCAATGTTGTGCTTAATAAGTCAGGTGTGCCCCAAAACTACTGGAGCGGAGGAAGAGTGAATGAGGAGGAATCAAATCTCCTCTGTGTGATTGCCGGATGTGATCAGGTGAACGAGTCCCGTGACGGCTGCGATCTTGATGAGAGGAGTACCACAAAGGCTCTTGGCAGAGATAGATTCAGCTAGAGGAAAAACAGGAATACCCCAGTGTTTAGCCAGTTCTATGTCCATGAAATCTCCATCCGCTCCTGAGTCGATAAGAGCTGCCACTGGGTGGGTGATCCCCTCTGACTGAAGCACAGCCGGGAGAGTAGTCCGGCCACCAGAGGGTAGTAGAGCAGCAGTCATGCTTACTGTGCGTGACCTCTCTCCAGAAGGAGGTTACCTCTTGTGGGGACAGGCAGCAACCATATGCCCCGCCTCCCCGCAATAGAGACACAACCCTTGGGCGATCCGATGCCACCGTTCCCGGGCCGTGAGATGAGCACGGCCGATCTGCATGGGTTCCTCTTCAGAGAAACCAAACCGTGGTGTCGTGGCGCCCCTAGCGCCGGGTGGCAGATCAAAGCTCTCATGCCTGATTTCCATGCCGCGGTGTTGCGACCTGAGCACCAAGTGGAAATCCACCCAAGTGGCGAGTTCGACCAACCCATCGAGTGAGGGAGGCAGCTCCAGGGAGAAGATCTCATCCTTTATGTGCTCAGCCAGTCCATGGAGGAAGTGGTCCCACAACGCCATGCTGTTCCAGCCGCGGCAAGCGTGCGGAACTCGGTGGCGTAATCTGACACCGTTCTGGTTCCCTGTCTCAGTAGCGGTAGTGCTCGTGCTGCCTCATTACCCTGAGCTGATCGGTCAAAGACCTTCCGTAGCTCCTGGGAGTGTAGGAACTGCAGCACTCATGCTTGCTGTCCCACATTGCTGTGCCCCACTCTCTGGCGATACCGGCCAGGTGCATCAAAACAAACCACCACGTGTAGCTGACAGAGACAGAACACGGGTGAAAAGCAGTAATGGGTCGGTGAGAGGTGCCGACCATGACAGAAATGAACATCTCTCATACAGACAGACAGTCTGACAACAGACAGTACTAAAAACAAACACTTCAGATAAAACGCACCGCTAAATGTGACTTTTATTATAATGGGTGTATGTAAATAAGTTTACTAAAATTCAGTTATAATATATTTTTTAAATAATATTGTTAATAAATGATTTCCCCAGGAATTTACTCACAATATATTTTAATAGTGGCATCAGTATATTGGTATCAGAGATAATAACCTTCATTGATAGGCCTCAGTAAACAATGCTACTACATAAAATTTTGTACAATTTGGATATTAAAATATTTTTTAATATTTAATTTTTTTTTATATGTTTTATTGTTAGCCAAGATTTATCTCAGTAAAGTGATTTCGTTTTTTTATCTTTCCTTAAAAACACTCCAAGTTGTTCCTAAATATAAACAGCTAGTCCACCGCATTTGTCGTGATCTCTCATATACTTTATATCCATTAACAATGTGCTCCAAATTACTAATAGTTGAATCCAGATGTTTCTGACAATAAGACTTTATTATTTTTGCAACAGCTATTCTAAAAATGTTATTACTATACCTATGTTCAAATGAGCCATGTTTAATCTTTTTCTTGGTAAACTTCAGAGATCTCATAACAGGTTAATACAAACAAACAGTTGATTTGTGAGGAGAGCAATCATGTTTGTTTTCTGAAATGAAATAAAACTGAATACCTCAGTGCAATAAATCAAAGTAAACACAACAGCCTCCTGAACATCTACAAACAAAAGTTTTTGCTAAGATCAAGAGTTCAGAAAGGCCATGAGTTAACCAACATTCTTCAAAAAGTTATCTTCCATATAATGGAAAATAAATCAGAATCAGAATCAGAAAGAGCTTTATTGCCAAGTATGTTTGCACATACAAAGAATTTGTTATAGTGTCACAAGCTTCCAGTACACGGAGACAACAACAACACACAGATAATAAAAATGAGATGTGAATAAAATACACATGCATAAATATAAACCACAAAAAAATAATAAATTGTATGTACAGGTGTGCTATAGATGGAATAGGAATAGAATAAAATAAAATAAGTTGTAGAGATGTACTAGGGTTTAGGGTGATAAATAAGTATAAGGTTATTGCACATACTGTACTTTAATTGCACAATGGGAGAACATTAACTGTTCATGACTACAACGTTCAGCAAAATGTCCGAATAAACGAAATCCGGTAAAAGATTGTGTGGTGTGTTCTGCCGAATATTCAGCAGCTCATCCCTGGTAAAACTAATCGTGTTTGAGAAACAAAAAACAGGAAAAACTAACAAAAACAGTACAAACACTGGAGAGCCAAACACTGAGGCTGCCGTCTGCGGCGCCATCGCATGTAAAATAATATTAAGTAAAATGAAATAGTCAAACCCTGCTTGTACTGGACGTGCTGGTTTTAGACTCATGTGCTCATCTCATATATAAAACACCTGCAACACACAACTAGCTGCCGATGCTCTCATATTCAAGTAGCCTCAGTGACAAGTGTGGTCAATGAAGACCTACTGCTTTCAATAGCCTGTAGATGGCAATATCACTCATTTTCTAACAGAAATAAACTGCTGCAGAAAAAGTTACATGCAAAATGTAATGAGCGACTGTATTATTCATTACAAATGTAGTGGAATGAAGTGATTGAATATTTTGGTTCTGATGTTACAATCAGCCTTCCTGTTTTAAATCATAATGTAAACGATAACATTGAGTGAACAGTAACGCCAGTGTTGTGACGTATCTCCTGTAATGCATCTCAGCTCATATCCCAGTAAAGAGTCTATCGATGCCCCTGTAAATGTGTTTATTTGTCCTTCAAAAAACTTGCTTTGTTGAACAATTCAAACCTAGATGCCAGTGACAGACATAACAGAGTTTTCCAGTATTTTGGTGCAGATGTGTGAATAGTATCTTAGTATCTTGCGTCAGCAGCAGATATGGTAGATTTAACAAGGCAAGTCAGCAGTTCACTGTGTGAAAGCGGATGACAGAATTTCCTGCTTTGTGAATTTTTTCCCATGAAAAAATATTAAATATATTAATCAAAGCTACCAAAACTGGTGTTTTGTGTAAATCATTACATTACTATGAGTTGTTCTCATAGTAGCAAAAGTGCAGTAGTCCTGGAGTAAGATGGAAACTTTGCCTCCTTGAGTGAACTTGCATGAGTGAACAATTAACACACAGGTGAGGAGCAATGAGGAAAAACAGTGGTGCCGCTACAACATCTGTTATTCTATATACATACTGTATGTACTCTCTCTCTCTCTCTCTCTCTCTCTCTCTCTCTCTCTCTCTCACACACACACACACACACACACACACACATGAGTGAACAATTAACACACAGGTGAGGAGCAATGAGGAAAAACAGTGGTGCCGCTACAACATCTGTTATTCTATATACATACTGTATGTACTCTCTCTCTCTCTCTCTCTCTCTCTCTCTCTCTCTCTCTCTCTCTCTCACACACACACACACACTCTAAATCAGTGCTTCTCAACCCTGTCCTGGAAACTCACCACTGCACATGTGTTTCTCCCTCATCATTCACCAATGATCTGATGTGTGTGTTAGAAGAGGCAGACAGTGGTGGACGGTTGAGAAGCGGATTCTGTGGCACAAGAAGCAGTTCCTAAATCATCCCCCAGAGGTGCAATTACTCCACACCTCTGCAGTGAGCGGGCTGAAAACTAGATCAGGGGTTCCCAGCCACGTTCCTGGAGAACAGTTCCAGCACTTCACATTACACCTGTCTCCCTAATCAAACACACCTGTTTCAGATCATCAGCTCATTAGGAGAGAGCTCCATGAACTGAACCAGATAAGAGAAACACACAAAGGCTGTGTGCGAAATGGCATTCTTCCCTACTATATAGTATGCAAAAAGCAGTAGGCGAGCGAATAAGTATGTTTGAATCCTCAGTATTCATAAAAGAGTAGACAAAAATTGCACTAATTCTCGCGAGATTCGGATGTACGCATACTTAATTTGCATTCTAATATGCCTACTTACCTACTATATAGTAGTGAAAAAGAGTACGTGAAGAAAAAAGAATGATCGAAACCGCAGTATTCATAAAAGAGTAGGCGAGAAAACCCCAGATGTCCTACTGCTTCAGCCCAGATTCTGAAGTGTTCATCGATGGACACTTTTCTATCCCAGAAGCCCACGCGAGAGGATACGTCATCATCAAACGTGATGGAGAACAGCGACGAGGGTGTTTATTATAAATTAAAAACATGGTTCCCTGTGTTAAAATCATATTTGTTGAGCTACTGGATAGTAAACTGTTGATTTGCTTAAGGTGTAAGATGCTTGACAGTAACGTTACAGTATATTTGTGATTTTTTTTTTCTGTGAAAACACTTTTATTATGTATAGCGAACAGGGAGCTCCAGTAAGCACACATACGTCTTCAAAGTGCATTTACATAAACCTTATACAGTACATCTTAAAGATGATTAAATGTCTATTTAATATGAGACAGGAAAATATTCTAAAAGAATTGCATATGAGCACATCACAACATGAACAGACATCTGAGTGTGTGATGTATGTGTGCTATTATGTAGAATTCACTGTCAACACTGCTTACATTAGATGAATGTAAGTAATGTAAATAAACAAATCTACATAGAGTAACTAAACATAAGTTATCTATTTCATTTGTCCATTAGTATTGTTGATAAATTGAGGAACATTTGTGTTGGATAAAAAGCGAGTTAACACATCAGCAGCTACCTCGACATGTAAATGCAGCATTGAGCAGATAATGAGATAAGAGGTGACTTGACTCTTGTCTGGATGTTACAGGAACAGATGAGACACATGTTTGTTTATCCAGTGAAGAGTGACTGATGAAGCAATGCTGCCATCAAAGGCTCTCAGTGAGTATACTACAGACATCAATAAAACATCTTTTAAATCTTAAATTGTAGTTTATTTTAATTATTGTAATTTCAAACAGAGTTATCACAGAACTTTTCTGATTCTTGATTTCTGTGCATTTGCTGCAGAGCTTTTGTGGTGGAGCAGGACCTGCAAGGAAAGGTGACGGCGGCATTTGTGAATAAAAGGGAAAACCTGAAACAAAAATATAAATTGAGATCATTTTGTTACTTCTAATACAGAAATCAAATGACATCATTATGTTAAAATGACTGCTTGTGTATTGTGTTTGTGCATTTTTGCAGGATCTGAAATGTCTGCAGACTGGTGTGAGCTGTGAGGATGGCGGACAGAGCCAGTGAGAGCATCTAGAGAAAGACCGAAAGACATTGAGGATGTGAGTTTGGTCAAGTTTGTCCTGCTGGTTTCTGTTCATACAACATCAGTCAATGAAACCTGAGTTTCAGAAGCTTTAAAAGCATCATCAAATAAAGTCCTGAAGCTTCTGAAAGTCAGGTTCTATTGACTGATATTGTATGAACACAAACCAGCAGGACAAACTTGACCAAACTCACCTATTGTGTTCAGAAAAATACAAAACAAAAACACACACAAGGAATGAACAGCACGGAGTCGAGTAAACAATGACTGAACTTATGTTTAGATGAACTAACCCTTTAAAGCCCAAAATAGAAATGGTATGAAATATAAGCATTTATATTATAGTAGTACCTTGAAGAAATAAACTTTAAGAAATAAGCAGCTTTATTAAGAGTTTGTGCCCAAGACACAAAAAAAAACATTTACAAAAATCACATTTACATTTATTAATTTGGCAGAGACTTTTGAACAGCACGGAGTCGAGTAAATAATGACTGAACTTATGTTTAGATGAACTAACCCTTTAAAGCCCAAAATAGAAATGGTATGAAATATAAACATTTATATTATAGTAGTACCTTGAAGAAATAAACTTTAAGAAATAAGCAGCTTTATTAAGAGTTTGTACCCAAGACACAAAAAAAAACATTTACAAAAATCACATTTACATTTATTAATTTGGCAGAGACTTTTATCCGAAGTGACTTACAGTGCTCTTATTACAGGGACCCCAATCCCTCTGAAACAACCTGGAGTAAAGAGGCTTGCTCTAGGACACAACCAGTGGTGAAGACTGCGGAGATCGATCCAGCAAGCTTCTGCTTTCCTGATCACTACACCACAAAAGTAATGAAGCTGTATCAAAAATTAGCATGCAACTGTAAACATATAAAATTAAAATTGGCAAGAAATGGAATGCTAAAAACATGAGATGTAAAGTGTTTTACTCTGTGTAAATGTTTTAAAGTTAGTGGTATTCATGGAGAGCATCACACAGATGTTTGGAGCAGACACAGCGATAGCCAGATTGTCCCGCATGTGTTCTCCTGCTGTTTTTCAAGATTGTGTGGTTCAGGAGCGTCATCATGGTCTTCCTCATCCTCTCTGTGCACTCAGGCAATGATAGCCTCGATGTCCCTTTCCCATCCATGATCAGATTCAGTCTGACTGCAGCAGTGAGGGTCGTGATGGACGGCAAAGACGGGTGAAGGTGGACACAGTGGTCAGCTGCAGAACTGTCTCAGCTGTTGAGATGCAGTAGATGTGGATTCACCGCCTGTAAATACATGATTGTCAGAACAATGTTTGAATAAAGCTTTGTTTCATGTGTCGATGACTTGTATTTATTTATTGTCATGGTTACTTTTATTTATTATTTTACTCATTTATTCATGTTTCCTGTTGTTGTCAGTAAATAAAATATAGCCTAATTGGGTAACACGTTATAATAACTTTCATTAATAAATCATTAGCAAACATTATGTAATGTTTAACAGATCATTAGTTAATATATATTCACATATCTAGAAAAGTGAAATAATGTGCTTGTTATTAATAAATGTATTAAACATTCCCTAATAATTAACATTTCATGTAAATAAAATGCTTACAAATGTCATTAAACTTCTAATTCATATGATCATGCACATCTTGAAAACCTACAAATGATTTTAACAGATGTTATACAATGATTAAAAGCTTTTGTTAATGCACAACACTTGCTGCTATTGAGGTGTGATACGTGTAAGGTTAGGCTCAGGTTTGGTGGTATGGGTTGGTTTAAGGGTTGGATAAGTGGTCAACGGTGTACAGAAGCCAATTTGATTACTATGAGGGAACACGATTCAATCTGTTTACATTGCATTGTTTTGATAAATGATAAATTAAGTATTTTCTTGAAAATTTTGCAATTTCTATAATCAATAGAGAATTTTGCTTTGCAACTATTTGTATCGTGAAAAGCGCTATACAAATCAACTTGAATTGACAACTTGGATTGAATTAACAAGCACATGATCTCATATTTCTAGATTTGTGAATATACAATTGTTTCATTAACATATGCATTAATTCATTACTTGACTGAAAATTGAGATGTATTCACCTTGGCTGCATTTGTCTAGTGTGTAGTCATGCAGTTATGGCATATGAAAAAACAAATTACAATTTGTTTGTTTTACTAAAAATATAATGAATTATTGGCCAGCATTTATGATTATTATTGTTCATGAGTGTTGGGGTGGGCTAGCAATGCATTCTGAGGTAATCTTAATTTCTAGGTAGTAATACTTACATTTTTAAGTTGGTCTTCTCCAAAGGCGAGATCTTTGAGCAGCTGATCGACGTCTCCTTTGTGCAGATATTACAAACACAGAGGAAAAGTACTAGGCAGGGTTTTCCTGTAACGTTACTGATGCTATGGAGGTGTTTGTGCACCTGTCGCTCTTGTGTTCTTTTTATTACTGCAGAACTTTGCGTACATCATAGTATGAGATTATATACACAGGGGAAAAAAATATTAATTATCTTTGAATAATCATAATATTCATATAACCATAATGGTGCAATGGTGCAAATCAAAAGATCCGTCAGACCTAAGTATGTATCAGTCTTTGCTTTCATCTTTCTCTGCTGAAGTCCATACTGCCAAATCTTCATACTACATTACATTTTAAGATGTTGATTTTCTCATAACTGCAGTGTTCTGTGTGAACAACAAAATTGTGTCTAATTGTGGATCGCTGAAGGTTCTAACGCAGCTGATGTTTCTTCAGCATTTACTTCCACGTGTATTACAGTATGTTTCACTTTGAAGCGGCACATTACACAGCAAATGCTGTGTAGTTCATCACCAGAAAGATCCAAACATTTACCTGTAGATGATGGATAGGACTTGAATGCATGTATTCATGATTCTAAACACTAAACTTTTGGGATGATCATTAAAATAAAAAAAAATAAACAGCAACACTTTCATGTGAGAAATGAGAGTAGAAATCTTACCTTGCCGACATACAGAGGATCAGTCCCTGTGTATTCCTCAAGCACAAAGAACTGATTCCAAACCCAGTTTCGTTTCTGTCTTTGTAGGGCGTCCCATGAATGTTTGGGGTCATGGCGGGGTCGGTCAGGGGCCCCGTCAGCAGATCTCGGTCCCCAGAGATGAACAGTCAGGAGCCAGACAGCGCTGCATATGAGAAAACTCATCTGGGCCATGTAACGAATCACCACGGTGGATTTGAGAAACAAAACAAAAACTCAAAAGTTCTGAAATATCACAGAAAACGCAGAGAATGAAACGTCAAACCCTTGCCATTTGTATTTTTTCCAAAGTGTCTGATGCTCAGAATGCAAAATCCTTGAGCTGTGATTATAATGAGGTCATTCTGAAGGACGATTTGCTCACGGCTCTTCATGAGGAGTTACTGACACCTGTCAGAGAAAGACAGAGATAAAACAAGGATGAGAGGATCTGCCAGCAACTGCTGTGGACTTTCTGAAGAAAAGATGCATGGCAGAGGAAATCACCACTGCGAAGCTATGCTGTTGGGAGTGGATAGCAAAAAATAATTTTTATGCTGCTATACGATTGCCAGGGTTAAACAGTAGTAATATCTCACCTTCAACAAGCCAAACGGTTTCAGATATCATGTCACAGTGAGCAGGTCGAGAGCTGTAGTTTCAAACACACACCTTTGCGATCCTGTTTGTGAATGTTCATTGGGACTATGGATTCAGGAAACACTGAATCGTTAAAATATGTTGATAACGATGAAACTTGTGACTATAGTTGTCTAACGATGCTTTTGGGAAACACACCACAGGGCAGTAATTTTTGTTAGTTACCTTGGCATGCTATTGCAAGCTATTAGATAAGACATAAGGCAAGGCAAGGCAAGTTTATGTATAGCTCATTTCATACACAATGGTAATTCAAAGTGCTTTACATAAAAGAAAAGAAAAAAATAATCACAACAATGAAACAAGGAATTTAAAAACGATAAAAAAATTGATTTAAGAGGTTTAAAATTAATTTAAAATGGTTAAGAATAGAAAACGATTATACATAAAATATAGTGCAATCAGTTCGGACATCGCACAGTGCTCATTCAATAAAAGCACAGCTCTACTTTCTCAAAAAAACTCATTCTGTATGATTTCCTCATAGGGAGCTCAAAAATGTAAAAATTTACTAGTATTACTATCCTTGTGGGGACATTTGCTCCCCATAACGTGATGAATACCAGGTACACACACACACACACACACACACACACACAGGCTGTAAGTGGAAAGGCCAGAGGGTCTGCTGTTAGGAATATCAATTAGGAGCAGCTCAGCATCTTTCTGCTGATTCTCAAGGAGTCTCATGTGAAAGATCACAGTCATCACTGCAGTGACACATATCTGCGGGAAATTCAATGAACCAGTATGAATTCTTACGCTGGTCTAGCTGGTGGAGCAGCATGGTTGTGTGAACAGGAGCTGGTGAAGCTGTTTTACATGCACACTGCTTTACAAAGAAATATGTCAAGATGTTTCAAAACGTTTCAAATTAGAGCTTTTTTTTTAAAGAATATTTTCAGGTAATTGTGTTTAAGGTAAACTATGTAGCAGATCAAAAATAAAACTGCATGAGTCTTGTGGAAGAACATTGTTTTGGTTGTTTTACATGCATATTAATACACTTTAGAATTGACACATAAAGGTTTTCAAATAACTAAGCTTTTTAGCTGGTTAGGAATCTAAAGATGTTATAAGCTAAATGAATTTGGATCATCACTGATTTGACTCAGGTTTA